CAAAGGCACCAGAGACATGCAGGGAGAAAGTGATATGCCTGGCATCAGTGCAAGAGATGGAGGGGCAGCTTCCCACCAGACAGAAATGCTGACAGAGGCCACTGGTCCTTTGATGAGCCCTCCCCTCACAGACCCAGCAAGCTGTCAAAACATCTGAGGCTCTACCAACCTGACTAACACAGTTATCCTTGCCCTGATGATTACCTGAGGTCCTACCCCACCCAACTTGCAGTTCTACCAATGATGGTTTACAGTGGCTTTTCTATATAAATACACTGTTTTAGCTTATGCTTCAGACTTTCCTAAAACTTCTCAAGCAAGCAGCATCTGGCCTCAGTGTGCCCCATACCTCTAAGTGGCCCCAGGCCCAGCACTAGTCACAGCCACCTCACAGGTTGGTCTCTCCTGTATACCTCCAAGCTAAGCACAAGTAGCAGCCATTTGCATATCACTATGTAGCTCATGCCAAGTGACTCCTGGCAGGACACAGGTGGCAGCTGCCCTGGGACTGCATTTCCTGGAAGGCTCCAGAGCCAGTGCACTCAGTGTACAGCTTAAGACCACGCTGAAGCACCCTGCAACCTCCTCCACAAGGGACACTCTTAAGGGGCAGACTCAGTAAGCACCAAAGCCCCACTGAAGTAAGTCCTGCTCCATGGGGTGGGTACCTATACAACTGAACCTTCATGGTGGTCAAAGCCAATCCTAGCAGCCGATTGGCCTGGGGACAAATCCCTCTTGCTAATGTGCCAACAGCAATCAAGACTCAACTACAACAGGAGGGTGTACACTGCCTACATGGGTGCTTACCTTGAGTGTCCAGCTCAAGTGAAAAAGGAGACTGTGCCACTGGATCCTATAGGAGACCTACTACATTAGGCCACTCTACCAAACCTGGGAGATGTAGCGTCTCCACTTAATAGAAACAATGAAACACAGGGAGTCTACCAAAATGAGAAGACAAACATGTCCCAAATAAAAAGACAGAACAAAATTCCTAAAAGAGAGTTAAGTGAAATGAAGACAAGCAATCTACCAGATATGGAGTTTAAAACACTGGTTATAAGGAAGTTGAAGGAACTTAGTGAGAACTTCAACAGCATAAAAAAAGACATGGAAATCATAAAAAGACCCAGTCAGAAATGAAGGATACATTAACTGAAATGAAGAATAATTTATAAGTAATTAACAACAGAGTAATGAGGCTGAGAATGAAATCAGCGATTTGGAATACAAGGAAACAAAAGCACCCAATCAGAACAGCAAAAAGAAAAAAGAATCCAAAAAAATGAGGATAGTTTAAGGAGCCTCTGGGACAACTTCATACATAACAACACCCTCATTAAGGGGGTGGCAGAAGAAGAGAGAAAGAAACTGGAAACCTATTTCTGGCCAAGATGGAAGCATAGGTACACACACAGTGCCTCCTCACACAACCAAAATAAAGACAACAACAATTTAGAAACAAAAAACAACCACTAATGACAGAAAATCAAACTGTATGGAAGTCCGACAACCAAGGAGTTAAAGAAGACACATTCATCCAAACTGGCAGGAGGGGCGGCTGGTGGGCCCAGCGAAGTCACGGATTGTGAAGCAGCATACGCAAGGCAGCAGCAGGCAGACCTGGTGAGGCGGTGGATTATGGACCTCAAGGTCCCACATTCCTGTGCAGAAAAACAACTGGGGAGCAGGATAGACTGCACAACCCAGGGCCCCAGCACAGGGAAATAAAGCCTCAAACAACCAATTGAAAACACCTGTGGGGGTTGAGGCAGCAGTGGGAGAAATGCCCAGCCTCACAGGAGAGTTTGTTAGAGAGACTCACAGGGTCTTAGAATGTACACAAACACACCCACATGGGAATCAGCACCAGAAGGGCCCAAATTGCTTGTGGGAAGTAGAGGAAGTGACTGAAAGTGGGGAGAGCCCAGCAATGGCCATTGTTCCCTCTTGCACCCCTCCCCCACATACAGCAATCAGGGTTACCCTGACCTAGTGAACACCTAAGGCTCTATCCCTCACCACATAACAGGCACATCAAGACAAAAAAAATGGCCCAAATGAAAGAATAGATCAAAACTCCAGAAAAAAATATAACCAAGTGATAAAGAGATAGCCTACCTATTAGATGCACAGTTCAAAACACTGGTAATCAGGATGCTCACAGAATTGGTTGAATTTGGTTGCAAATTAGATGTAAAAATGAAGGCTACACTAAGTGTAATAAAGGAAAATGTACAGGGAACCAATAGTGATGGGAAGAAAACTGGGACTCAAATCAACCATGTGTACCAGAAGAAAGAAAGAAATATCCAATCATAAAAGAATGAAGGAACAAGAATTCAAAAAATGACGAGAAGCTTAGGAACCTCCAGGACATCTTTAAAGATTCCAACACTCCAATTATAGGGGTTCCAGAAGGAGAAGAGGAAGAGCAGTAAGTGGAAAAATTATTTGAACAAATAATAAAGGAGAACTTCCCTAATCTGGCAAAGGAAATAGACTTCCAGGAAGTCCAGGAAGCTCTGAGAGTCCCAAAGAAGTTGGACCCAAGGAGGAACACACCAAGGCACATCATAATTACATTAGCCAAGATTAAAATGAAGGAGAAAATTCCTAGAAGCAGCAAGAGAAAAGGAGACAGTTACCTAAAAAGGAGTTCCCATCAGACTGTCAGCTAATTTCTCAAAAGAGACCTTGCAGGCAAGAAGGGGCTGGAAAGAAGTATTCCAACTCATGAAAGGCAAGGACCTACATCCAAGATTGCTCTATCCAGCAAAGCTTTCATTTAGAATGGAAGGACAGATAAAGTGCTTCTCAGATAAGACCAAATTCAAGGAGTTCATCATCACCAAGTCCTTATTATATGAAATGTTAAAGGGACTCATCTAAGAAAAAGATAAAAAATATGAACAGTAAAATGACAACAAACTCACAATCATTAACAACCACACCTAAAACAAAAACAAAACCAAAACCAAACTAAGCAAACAAGTAGAACAAGAGCAGAAACACAGAAATAGAGATCACATGGAGGGTTAGCAACAGGGGAGTGGGAGGGGGAGAGAGGGGGAAAAGGTACAGAGAATAAGGAGCATAGATGGTAGGCAGAAAATAGAAAGGGGGAGGGTAAAAATAGTATAGGGAATATAGAAGTCAAAGAGCTTATATGTACGACCCATGGACATGAACTAAAACGGTGCAGGGCAGGGCGGGGAATGAGGGTGGGAGGGAGTATGCAGGGTGAAGGGGAGTGAAGGGGGTAAATGGAACAACTGTAATAGCATAATCAGTAAAATATATTTAAAAAAAGGAACTGAAAACCTATTTGAAAAAATAATGACAGAACACTTCCCTAACCTGGTGAAAGAAAGAGACATACAAGTCCAGAAAGTGCAGAGTCCCAAACAAGATGAACTCAAAGAGGCCCAAAACAAGGCACATCATAAATAAAATGCCAAAGGTTATAGGGAGAATCTTAAAAGCATGAAGAAAAAACACAGATAGTTACCTACAAGGGAGCACCCAAAAGACTGTCAGCTGATTTTTCAACAGAAACTTTGCAGGCCAGAAGGGATGGCAAGAAACATTCAAAATGATGAAAAGAACTTATAACCAAGATGACTGACCCAGCAAAGTTATCATTTAGAATCTTCCCAGACAAGAAAAAGCTAAAGGAGTTCATCACCACCAAACCAATATTATATGAAATGTTAGAGGGTCTTCTTTAAGAAGAAGAAAAGAAATATGAACAATAAAATGGCAATAAATACATATTTTTCAACAATTGAATCTAAAAACAACAAGATAAATGGACAAATGGAACAAAAGCAGACATACATACAGAGAACATTTTGATGGACGGAAGATGAAAAGGGTTTCAGGGATGGGTAAAAATGGTGAAGGGATTCAAATTGGTTGTTAAAGAATAGTCATGGGGATGTAAAGTACTATATAGGGGATATAGTCAGTAATATTCTAATAACTACGTACGATGTCAGATGGTTATGAGAATTATCAGGATGATCACCTAGTAAGTCATATAATGTCTAATCACTGGGCCGTACACTGAAACTAATATACTGTATGTCAGCTATAATTAAAAAATTAAAAAATGGTTTAAAAGAGTTATACAGAAAAAGTGATCTTTATATGCACCAACACTGCTATGACTAGCTTAAAATCCATAATAATGTAAATAGTAGACTGTGATTAAATCAAAACTATGATTTTGGAGAGACTGAGATTGGGAGATGGGAGATATGTATGTGCACTCATATGTGTTGGATTCAGAATCAAAAAGTGTTAAATTTAGCCGTGCCTGATGTAGCTCAGTGGATTGAGCGTGGGCCTGCGAACCAGAGTATCATGGTTCGATTCCCAGTCAGGGCACATGCCTGGGTTGCAGGCCAGGTCCCAGCGAGGAACCCAGAGAGGCAACCATACATCGATATTTCTCTCCCTCCCTTTCTCATTTCCTTCCCCTCTCTCTAAAAATAAAAAATTTAAAAAAAATCATGAAATAGCAACAGAAATATATTTGTTAGAGACACAAAAGAAACACCAAAGGAAACTGCAAAAGAAAAGTGGATTCCTCTAGGAAGAGGACAAGTAGGAAGCAGGGCAAGAGGCTCCTTTTTTTTAAAGGGATAAGCCTTCTAGAATCACTTGACTCTAAACATCATATGTATATAATTTTGACAGTAACTTTAATAAAAATAAAAACCCTAAAAATAAATTTATAAATTTATACCATTCTGATTATAAATGGGAAAGAAGAGTTGGGAATGACTGGAATTCAGGGTATAGGCAGAAGTATTATAGAGAGTATAATTTGATAGAAACAGAAAGGAAAAAACCCAAGGTGTAGGTGAGATTTTTAAGGAAGAGAATGCTAAAAGGATTTCAGTTTTCTTCTGGAGCCAGGGTAGCCTGCCCATGACCATTTGGGCTGGCACCTTACAACAGCCCACCCTTCCCAGTTTCTTGTTACTCACCTGTATATTGACCACCTGACATCTCTCTCTTCACCATCCAAGGTTCTTTCCCTTGCTCCAACAGGGAGATCATGTCGGGCTTGGAAATGGAGAGTCCTGTTTACAGAAAAACAATGACAGCAAAAGAGAAAGACAGAACATGCCACTGCTGTTCCAGAATTTTACACCCAATCTCCTGGTTATCAGGCAAGAAAGGACATTACAGGAAGGGCTAGAGGATGGAATGATATTTGCATGGAGGATAAGAGAGATAAAACTTCTTCCACAGCAGTGGTTCTCAAAGTGCTAGAGCAGAAGAACCATCACCTTGGAAATTGTCAGAAATATATATCCTCAGTCCCTACCCCAGACATACTAATCAGGAGTCACAGTGGTTCTCAAACTTTCACAGGCATCAGAATTATCTGGAGCGCTCATTAAAACACAGACTACTGAGCCTATCCCCAGGGTTTATGATTTAGTAGGTCTAGAGTAGAACCCCATGACTTGCAATTTAATAAATTCCCATGCCATATTGTTGCTGCTATTCCAAACCATTATTCTACAGCACAGAGAGTTACTAACTTCTAACGCTATAAAACTACTGCAAATCATTCCCTGGGAACAGAAGTAAAAATTCAGCTAAGTACTTAGATGTCTTAGATATGCCCAATGGAGGAAGCAAAAACACTCCAGAGGGAAGATTTTAATTTATTGGAGAGGGTGTCCTTACCAAGCAATACCAAATTCCTGTAGTTCTCCAACATGACATCCCTGTATAAATCCTTCTGAGATGGGTCCAGCCATTTCCACTCTTCTTGGGAAAAATCTAGGGCCACATCCCTAAAGGTTACCAACCCCTGAAATTAAAAAAAAAATCTAAGTGGTATTACGAAAATCATTATTGGGAAATAAGTATATGCCTTGATTTTTCAAATATTTAAGAGAAAAAGAACTACCAAAAGCAGCCTTACTTTTTGAAAATATACATTTTTGTGAAAGACAAAGGACATATACAGGGGAAAAAATTAGCTCATAGAATGAATCATGAGTTTTATGACATTAAAGTATATGAGTAAAGGCTGAGTTTTATGTTACATATGCCAAGTATCAAGTCATTCTTATAGAAAGCATTTTCTGTATTCCCCAAACTGGGATACCATCTGCCTCAGAGTAATGAAAGAAGCCTGGGATTGGGCTTTAATAAAAGGGAATGGTCTGGCCCTAACTGGTGTAGCTCAGTGGATTGAGTGCAGGTCTGTGAAGTAAGGGATCGCGGTTCGATTCCCAGTCAAGGCACATGCCTGGGTTGCAGGCCAGTTCCCAGTGGGGGACACAGGAGAAGCAACCGTACATTGATATTTCTCTCCCTCTCTCCTTCCCTTCCCCTCTAAAGATAAATGAATAAAATCTTTTTTTAAAAAAAAGCATGGTCTGCAATTTAGGCTCTATACATGAGAAACTTCCAGGAGAGTATCTTGAAAAAATAATGAAGTATATATGAAGAGATTTCTATATGAAGAGATTTCTGGAAGGTAATATTAAAAAAAAAATTTCCAAAAATTAGAGTTTAAGCTATACCACTGATCTATGTAAGCTGTATGAGGGGAAGGATATATGTTTTATAAGCTCATGCATATCCAGTGTCTATTACAAAATCTGTCACATTGTAAATACTCAGGAAATAATTGCCACTTAGTGAATAAATGATGAAGATTTCTATGATACATCCATTGCAGGAAGAATACTCAATGCTTAAAAATTACAAGTTCCATTTTGCATAGAACGGTCTCATTTTTATTAAAAATAATAAAATATCACATATGGTTACTCTACACATTAAAAATACAAATAAATGTGGCTAGAGAAAAAAATACATTCCATAGTGTTGTCCCTCTACACTTGTGTGTTGTGGGAGGCTAACCTGTATTGGTTACATCATGAGCCTCCCCTTTCCCACCACATTTTCAGTTGAGTTAAGCCACATGCAAACCATGGGAGGGAGTTGAGAAAGGCACAACAGTTATTCCCCTGGCTCACTCCCTGCAGCACCAGCCACAGTGGTCTCTATCCTTCAGTCAAAAGTCACAGTGGCTATCAGGGGATCTCCCCATTCAGACATCTCTTTCTCCAGGTTCAGGCCTAAACTTAGTAGGGGAACTCTGCTTTTACCCCAGGGTATAGCACTATTCTTTGTAGTTTCTCTATATACTTGTAAATAGCTCCCTTTTGAGTTTCTTGCCAGAACCCTGACTGATAAACATGTTGACCCAGTGTACTGCTAGGATATGACCAGAGATGATCCCCCAAAAGCACCACTAGGCAATTCTAATATACTTTCTCGTAAATTCACTCTCTCACTCTCCCATGACTATTTCATACCTAATATCTCTTGAACTACCACCAAGTCCTCCCCTGTTCTCACTTTGGACTTCCGCATCCTCTAGCCCCTAATATGTGTTTACTGACCAGGATCTGTACTCATATATTTGACCTTCCCTTTGTTACTACAGATAAAACTGCAGGCTTCCTAAAAAAGACCAATCACTCCACTTGTCCATATAAGGACACTGTCTCCTCTCTTCCTAGTAAACATCATGGAGATATCAGATATCTCCCTTGTATTACTGATATTTTCTCACTCTACTGGATTATTTCTATCAGTATATAAACTGATGTAATACCCTCCATCTATAAATAGATACACAAATTCCTTTCCATGATCTCGCTTTAGCTATTGTCCCGTTTCTTTCTTTGTAATAACAAAACATTCCCAAAGAGTTGTTTATATCAGTACTGTCCGAAAGAATACAATGTGAGCCACATATGTTACCTAAACCTTTTCAGTAGCTACATTAAAAAGTATATATAATAAATTCAATTCCCAGTCAGGGCACATGCCTGGGTTGCAGGCCAGGTCCCCAATGGGGGGCACACAAGAGACAACCACACATTGATGTCTCTCTCCCTCTCTTTCTCCTTTCCTTTCCCGCTCTAAAAATAAATAAATAAATAATTTAAAAAGTATATATAAGTAAAGTTAATTTAATAACATTTTTTTACTTCTGGCCAAGATGGTAGCATAGGTGGAAACACTGTGCCTCCTTGCACAACCAGGTTTAAAGACAACAAAGTTTTAGTAACAAAAATGCAACCAAAACACAGAAAATTGAACTGTATGGAAGTCCGACAACAAGGAACCATTCAGCCAGACCAGTAAGAGGGGCGGAGTCAGCAGCTGGCGGAGCTGGGTCAGGCAGGAAAAATCAGCCAGACCGACCCAGTAGCGCAGGCAGTGGTAGGCAGATCCCAGGTGTGGGGTGGCAACGGGTGGACCCAGTGAGGGCTCGGGTGGCTGGCTGACCATGGCCACGCATTCGGGTGCAGATAAACCAGGCAAAGGAGCAAGCAGTGAGACAGACCACAGCGGCTAGGGCCCCAGCGATTAAAAATTAAAGCCTAAAAGCACCAATTGGAAAGATTTTCCAGGTAAAGGTGCCAGGAGGAGCTCCCAGGCTCACAGAGTTCATTGGAGAGACCCACAGGGTCCTGGAGAGTGCACAGGCCCACAAACCTGGGAGCCAGCACTAGGGGGGCCAGGTTTGCTTTCAGGAAGCAGCAGAGGGGACTGAAATCCAAGACAGAGCAGAACAAACATCACTGCCCCTCTCTGACCCCGCCCCCACATACAGCATCACAATCCAGACACCTGGGTGGCCCCACCCTGGTGGACACCTAAGGCTCCGCTCCTCATACATCACAGGCATGAAAAGACCAAAACAATATGGCTCAAGAAGAACATCTCAAAGCCCCAGAGACAACATTTCTAAGTGACAAAGAGATAGCCAACCTATCAGATGCACAGTTCAAAACACTGGTGATCAGGATGCTCACAGAATTGGTTGATTTTAGTCACAAATTAGATGAACAAATGAAGGCTAAACTAATTGAAATGAAGGGAAATGCACAGGAAATCAATAGTAATGGAAGGGAAACTGGGACTCAAATCAAGGGAGCAGACCAGAAGGAAGGAAAAAATGACCAAACAGAAAAATATGAAGAAACAAGAATTCAAAAAAATGAGGAACATCCAGGACATCTTTAAACGTTCCAACATCTGAATTATAGGCGTACCAGAAGGGGAAGAGGAAGAGCCACAAGTGGAAAACTTATTTCAACAAATAATAAAGGAGAACTTCCCCAATCTGGCAAAGGAAATAGACTTCCAGGTAGCCCAGGAAGCTCAGAGAGTCCCAAAGAAGTTGGACCCAAGAAGGAACACACCAAAGCTCATCATAATTACATTAGCCAAGATTAAAATGAAGGAGAGAATCCTAGAAGCAGCAAGAGATAAGGGGACTGTCACCTACAAAGGAGTCCCCATCAGACTGTCAGCAGATTTCTCAAAAGAGACCTTACAGGCAAGAAGGGGCTGCAAAGAAGTATTCCAAGTCATGAAATCCAAAGACCTACAACCAAGATTGCTCTATCCAGCAAAACTTTCATTTAGAATGGAAGGACAGATAAAATACTTCTCAGATAAGATCAAATTTAAGGAGTTCATCATCACCAAGCCCTTATTATATGAAATGTTAAAGGGACTTATCTAAGAAAAAGAAGACAAAAAAGATGAACAGTGAAAGGACAGCCAACTCACAGTTATCAACAACCACACCTAAAACAAAAGCAAATTAAAAGGACAGCTAGATCAGGAGCAGGGGAACCATAGAAATGAAGATCACGTGGAGGGTTAACAACAGGGGAGTGGGAGGAGGAGAAGTGGGGAGAAGGTAAAGAGAATAAGTAGCATAGACAGTAGGTAGAAAATAGACGGGGGGAGGGCAAGAATAGTATGGGAAATATAGAATCTAAAGAACTTGTGACACATGGACATAAACTAAAGGTGGGGGAATGGTGGGGAAGCAGGTGTGCAGGGAGGAGGATAATGAAGGAGGGCAAATAGGACAACTGTAATGGCATAATCAATAAAATATACTAAAAATTAAAAAAATTATTGATTATGCCATTACAGTTGTTCTAGTTCCCCCCTTCATTCCCCTCCACCCTGCACACCCCTCCCCCACCATTCCCCCCTTTAGTTCATGAACACGTGTCTCAAGTTCTTTAGATTCTATATTTCCCATACTATTCTTACCCTCCCCCCATCTATTTTCTATCTACTGTCTATGCTACTTATTCTCTGTACCTTCTCCCCCCCCTTCTCCTCCTCCCACTCCCCTGTTGCTAACCCTCCATGTGATCTTCATTTCTATGGTTCCACTCCTGATCTAGCTGTCCTCTTAGTTTGCTTTTGTTTTAGGTGTGGTTGTTGATAACTGTGAGTTTGCTGTCCTTTCACTGTTCATCTTTTTTGTCTACTTTTTCTTAGGTAAGTCCCTTTAACATTTCATATAATAAGGGCTTGGTGATGATGAACTCCTTGAATTTGATCTTATCTGAGAAGCACTTTATCTGTCCTTTCCATTCTAAATGAAAGCTTTGCTGGATAGAGCAATCTTGGTTGTAGGTCTTTGGATTTCATGACTTGGAATACTTCTTTCCAGCCCCTTCTTGCCTGTAAGGTCTCTTTTGAGAAATCTGCTGACAGTCTGATGGGAACTCCTTTGTAGGTGACAGTCCCCTTATCTCTTGCTGCTTCTAGGATTCTCTCCTCCATTTTAATCTTGGCTAATGTAATGATGATGTGCCTCGGTGTGTTCCTTCTTGGGTCCAATTTCTTTGGGACTCTCTGAGCTTCCTGGATTACCTGGAAGTCTATTTCCTTTGCCAGATTGGGGAAGTTCTCCTTTACTATTTGTTCAAATAAGTTTTCCACTTGTGGCTGTTCCTCTTCCCCTTCTGGTACCCCTATAATTCAGATGTTGGAACGTTTAAAGATGTCCTGGAGGTTCCTCATTTTTTTTGAATTCTTGTTTCTTCATATTTTTCTGTTTGGTCATTTTTTCCTTCCTTCTGGTCTGCTCCCTTGATTTGAGTCCCAGTTTCCTTTCTATCACTATTGGTTTCCTGTGCATTTCCCTTCATTCCAATGAGTTTAGCCTTCATTTGTTTCTCTAATTTGTGACTAAAATCAACCAGTTCTGTGAGCATCCTGATCACCAGTGTTTTGAACTGTGCATCTGATAGGTTGGCTATCTCTTTGTTGCTTAGAAATGTTGTCTCTGGGGCTTTGAGCTGTTCTTCTTGAGCCTATTGTTTTGGTCTGTTTATGCCTGTTATGTATGAGGAGCGGAGCCTTAGGTGTCCACCAGGGTGGGGCAACCCCGTTGCTGGATTGTGATGCTGTATGTGGGGGCGGGGTCAGAGAGAGAGCACTGGCGGTGCTCTCCGCTTGCCCAGTCAGCCTTACTGCTCGCCACCGCCTGTTTATCTGAGTGCAAATGTGCGAGTCCGCCCCCCTGCAACTCTCGGTCTCAATGCTCGCCTCTTCACTGGTTTATCTGCGTGCAAATGCACGACTGACTGTGGACAGCCAACTGCGCCTCTTCCCTGTAGCTAGCCTGCACCTGAGCCGCGCCCTCAGCTGCCTGAGCACCGTGCTGGTAGGGGATCTTTTTTGTCCCGCCTGCTCCACTGCTGGCTTCACCCCTCTCACCGGTTTAGCTGAGCATTTCGTTGTTTTTGGACTTTGTATTGTCTATTTTCTGTGTGGTTTGGTTGCATTTATTTTGTTAAAACTTTATTATTTTTAGATTTGGTTGTGCGAGGATGCAAAGTGTTTCCACCTACGCCTCCATCTTGGCAGAAGTCCTAAAATTAAAAAATTTTTAAGTGTAAAAAAAAATAACATTTTTATTTGACCTCTAAATACAGAAAATGTTATTTGAACCTGGAATTAATATAAAATTATTAATGCTTTACATTCTTTTTATACTGAATTTTCAAAATCTGGTATGTGTTTTGTACATATATAGCACATATCAATTTGGAGTAGTCATTTGTGGCAACTGGGTACATTACTGGACAGCACAGAACATACAGACTCATTGTCTCTATTCTTACTCTTTTTTGCCTTCAATTCTCTTTTAAATCTATTACAGTGATGCTTTCATCTCAACCACTCTATAAACCAGCTATTTTCAAGAGCATGTTACCAAATCCAGGGGCCAGCTCTCAGTCTTCATCTTCTTCAACCTCTCTCAGAAGAATTTAACTCAGTTGATCGTCACCTCCGTGAAGATTTTCTACTTTTCACTTCCAGGACCCTTACTCTTCAGGTTGTCCTTCTGCATCAGTCCTTCTCAATCTCTTTTGCTGGTTCTTCCTCTACTTGTCAGCCTCTAAATGATGAATGCCCGAAACTCAGTCCTTAGCCCTCTTTCCTATTTACATTCACCACAGTCCTAAACTTAAAATAATCTCATCCTGTCCTATTCCTTAAAATTTTTTTAAAATTTCTTTATAAAGAAAGGGGAATTGAGAGAGAAAGAGAGGGAGAGAAACAACAATATGAGAGAGAAATATTGATCAGTTCCCTCTTAATATGCATCCCAACCAGGGACGACACCCTGACTGGGGACGGGACCCGAAACCTTGGCCTGTGCCCTGATTAGGAATTGAACCAGCAACATTTCGCTTTCTGGAGCAATGCCCAACCAACTGAGCCATTCTGGTCAGGGCTGTCCTATGGCTTTAAATACATAAAATGAGACTCAAATTCACATCTCCAGTCCTGAATTTCAGATATATAATCCATATTCCTCTTGGATATCCAGCAGGTCTCTCAAACTTAATATATATAGAACTCAATTCTTGATTCCTGTCTTACCCCACCCAGTATTTTAATCTCAATAAATGTCATGACCATTAATGCAATTTCCCAATCTCTGTAATCATCCATGATTGATTTCTTCCTCTCACATTTCACAAGCAAGCCCAGAATCTCACTGGCTCCAATGCCACCACTATGGTCCAGGCAGCTATAACCTTCCAACTGGATTATTGCAGTAGACCCTGAATAGTCTCCCTGCTTCCACCCTTAATTCCCTGCTACCTCTTTTCCTTTTAAAACATAAATCAAACAAATCACAAATACTCCAATGGCTCTCCTTCACCCTTAGAACAAAACTCACAGTCCTAATCATGACCTTCAAAGGCTTATATAATTTGTCCTCTAGATACTCCTCTGATCTCACAGTGCCCATCTGCTTCACACAATACTGGCTCATTGCTATTTCGGGTACAGATCAAACATACTTCCACCATAAGAACTTCATACTTGCTATTGCTTCTCATTTTAAAGCTCTTCCCTAGATTTCCACAAAATTTACTCCCTACTTTCACTGAGGTATTTCTTTGCTTAAATGTCACTTCCTCAAAAAGACCATCCTTGCCTCCCTATTTAATAAGACACTCGACAATCACACTCTATCCTTTGTTTCATTTGTATTCATCTCCAATACAATGGATCATGACCTATCAAATGAGGAGAGTTTCATCACACACCTGAGCATAACTGTGAGTAAAAGAGATACTACATGTTTTATGGAAGGAATATATGAAAAAATGATAGAGAAAGAAAAGTGGAGAGAGTGCTCACTGGGCTATCTGTGACCCTCCCCGTAGTCCAAAGTCTTAAAAAACAGGGGTGAAATTTCTGGAAACCAAATTTTTAAAAAATCAGCCCACCTGGAACATGGATTTACAAAGTCCAACAGCCATTCTTCCTTCCTTCTTCAATTTTCTCTTTTGGAGAACAAGGTCCTGAGAAGGGAGAGTTAAGGAAGAGAAAGTGGCAAATCTTGCCATTTCTGCTGATCTGAGACTTAAAAAGCTAGAACTTTTATGGTCCCCACAGTCTCAGCTCTATCCACTTCCAAGATCTTAGAAAAGGCCAAAGCTGATCTTAATCCCTGAAGTCTTGACTGATAATAAGAATACAAAGCTTGAATTCACCAAAATCTACAGTCCATCCTATGGCCAACAAGGTAGTTTATGATCTGGTCATTGCTGCCCCTCAGGCCTCATTTCCTACCCTTCTCCCCCTTGTTCACCCCAATGTAGGCTCACAGGTTTCCTTATAGTTCCTCAAACTGTGTGCTCTTTTTGCAAGGCTGTTGCCTTTCCTTTTCCCTTTCTTGGCTCAGTGCCTTTCTTCATTTCTATCTGTGCTTAGTTGTCACCATATCAGAGGGACTTCCCTAAAATTTCTATCCAAAGAAACCCTCCATTCCAGTCTCTTTTTCCTTATCTTGATTTATTTTTCTTCTTTGTATTTAACATCTTCGAATATGGTACGTATTTACTTTCCCCGCTTACTGTTGTCTTTCCAATCAATAGTATAAAATCTAAGAGAGCTAGAACTTATTGGTTCCACAGGTGCCATAGTTTGTCATGTATAATGAGCACTTTTTTGCTCAAATTTTTGAGGGAAAAATAAGGATGTGCATTATACGTGGGTAGTTCCAGTTCCCATGTACTGATAATGCAAACTATACATGGGAATTACTACTAAAAAACAGGTGTGTGTTATACATGGCAAAATACAGTATATCTCTAATGTTAGAATAAAGCTAAACCATTGTAACTGCTCAAAAAATATTTGATAAGTAAATAAATAAATCTTACTGTGCCTCCTGTAATATATAGTAGTTATACCTATTGTATATGTCATTACATTATTTATCACAAAACTGCAAAAGTAGATGTTATTATCCCCATTTTACCAACAACTGAAATTAAAGTTCAAAAAGCTTAAGCAATTAAGTCTTAAAAGTCAAACTGCAGTGTGACTTAAAAACTGGTTCTCTTTTGAGAGACCACAGTATCTGAATGTGAAATATTCAACATAAACTGAGAAATCAATGCCATATGTTTCTTAGAGAAGCATCTTTAAGAGATGGCAGATATCAGCATTATTAGTCCACAGAAATGCAGCCTGAGGCAATCCTTGCCAAATTAAATTTTAACACTACACCAATAACAAAGTCTACACCCTCAACTATGTTCCTTGTACTGTCAGAGCCAACATTTCTTCATTCTGAAAATAAGATTAGTTGTGTTTGACCTAGAATTTAGGATACACAACCCCTAATTCTGGGCTACTCTACACTAGCTGGCTCAGTTCTAACAAAGTAATTTCCTTAGGGCAATGCAGCTTGAAATTGTCCATAAAAGCCTTAGCAACCCCAGAGAAGGCTCAAAGTCTTCTCAGCATCTGAGAGCCCTACAGATCTCCATAAAATAAATGTATTTTGAATTTCTGTTTGCAAATAGCTGTGTATTCCTTGGGTAATATTTTCCAAGTTTGAGATGAACCATCAGAAAGAAAGTCATGTTAAAGACTTAGCGTTGTATAAACTCAATCAGTTCAGACTCTCCACTCCTTCACTCATTGTCTACATGACCATGGGCAAGTTAATCCACATTTCAGGATCTTTTTTCCCTTATTGTCAAGATTGCATGAGCCAACTCCTGGCATAGAGAAGTCTGACCTTGTTGCCATTTGGATTCTACATACACATTTGGAAAGGAAATAAAATAATTATTGTTCTTTATTAATGAGAAGGTCAGAACCAAATATTTAGCTCACTTAGTACATCAGAAAAAGAGCCACGGATCAGCCTCTCTTGGGGCCAAACATGGGAGAGTAAGGAAAATGCTAAAATCTCTAATTTCATGCCCTAAGGAGAGAGAGAGAGGAAGACTGAGCTTTTAGGTTAGGTTTTCCTGTCCTAGAGGCAGCCAATTTGAGGATGGTCTCACTACTATGTCTTCAGACTGGCTCTTGTGATTCACAAAGGGACTGAAGGAAGAGACCCAGGTTTAGTTCCCATGTCCAAAAGGTTCCTAGTCCAAGACCACAGACAATCCTTTCCAAAACCCTCAGAATCCAGGGCCCCCATTTTTCACTTTAGTAATTAAAACAAGGGCTCTAGGGCCAAACTGCATGGGCTCAAATCCCGGTTTTGTCACTTATTAACTGTGTGCACTTGGGCAAGTAATTTTAATCTTCCTGTGCCTTACAATCACACACTAAGTCACATACACACACACAAATTCTCACTCAATCACACATATATACATGGTCGTACAATCACAACCATGTCACACACATACACATTAACACAAAGTCAGAGATGATGATACATTACTCCAACAAAGAGACAGTCGCACACAATCACAGTTACATATCACACAAGACCACACATTCTATCATAAGTACACAAAATTATACTTGTAGAGATAGATGGACCTGCTGACACACACATTCGAACAGTTGTATCTACAGAGGCAAGTGGTGAAACATAATCACATACACACACAATGTCATACCCACAGTCTCACAAACCCATACGCAGTAACACACAGTTGTACCTGCAGAGACAGTCACAGACACACACACACTCCAGTGTTACACTAGAGTATGCATAGTCGTACCCAATCACATACACACAGAGTGAAACACAAAATCACACTGCCACACCGACAGCCTCTCACACAGTTATACATAATGACACACAATATCCCCAGTGACACCGTCCTGGTCACAACTCCAAGTTGGTCCCCGACCTCTGGCTCCCGCGCTAGGGGAGGCCCTACCCACCTACCGGTACCGCGGGCTTTGGAAACCCGACGCCTGACCGGAGAACCGCGACGTCGCCTCCCAGAACCACCAGCGGTGCAGACAGAGGTGGAGGTTGCAGCGGGTTGAAGCGGTGGTTCCTCAGAAGTCGTCTGGGGAAACCTAGAGCTACAGGGACTTGGATTACCTACCCAGCTTTTCTTTGCGACTCCGCGAACCACCAGCCCCAGAAGGCTTTGCGCTGCGGCGTTCTTCGCTGAACTACATTTCCCAGAGGGCTCGAGGCCCACCGCTGCTCCGCTAGGCGCTCGGACCCAGGTACCCAGAGCTGTGTGCGACCCTGGAAGACCCTGGGCGACCTACTGTGTGTGAGGAACCTACGGGGCTGCGCGCCTCTGATACTGTGTGTGCTCAGGTGTGGCGGTCTGTGTGCAACGCCGCTGCACACTTTTGTGATTGCGCAGCTGGGGGTGATGGGTTCTGTTGGTGCAGTGAGTTTCTGTACAAAAATCTCGTTCTCTTATTGGGAGTCACTGTGTGATAGGTTGGGGGCCTGGCACCCCGAGAATGTGAGTGACTGGCTGTGTGAGAGGGCTATGGCACAGTGGCTGGCTCTGCACCGTGTTGTTACCCCTTGGGTCGCAGGAGTTACCTATGACAGGCGGTAGAACTTTGTTTCCAGTCTTGCCTTAGGGTTGCGTCCGTGGAAGAAGTCTTTCTTCCTATTAATAGGAAAATTTACTAGTTAGGTATTCTTTGGATGATAATTATGATTTGGTACTGGTACATACATCAAATAACTGTTCCTTGGACTTGATTACCATACAGATGAGAAATCATCTTGGACATTTCAAACCAAAATGCTAGAAATTTAAGATGACCCATTCTTTTTAAAAAATATTTTATTGTTATTCAATTACAGTTGTCTGCATTTTCTCCCCACCACTCCCCCAGACCCCAGCCAAATTCACTTCCCTCCCTTGCTTCTACCCTCCCCTTTGGTTTTCTCCATGTGCCCTTTGTAATAGTTCCTGAAAACCTGTCCCCATCCCCATTATCCCCTCCCCTCTACCCTCTGGTTATCTTACTGTTAGATTGTTCTTTTTTTTTCCCATTCAGCTTTCCCTTTATTTTTTCTTAAGTTTCTTTGTTTTGTCTGCGTATTTATTTTTATTTTTATTTTTTAAATTAATTTTATTTAGTTATTTTTCAAGTACAGTTTTTTGTCTATTTTTCCCATCCCAGCCTCCCCCACCCCTTGCTCCCCACCTCCCTCCCATTTCCACCCCCCTTAGTTCTCATCCCTGTGTCCTTCCTATTTGTTCCTCCAAATCCCTCCCCCTTTTTCCCCTTAACTTCCCTTCCTTCTCCCCTCTGGGAAGGAAGAACTTTTCCCTTCACTGTCCCCTTGTTCTCTATTTCAGTGTCTTTGTTTTTTTTTTCTGCTTGCTTGTTTGTTTTGTTGTTTAGCTTCCTGTTAAAGGTGAGATCATATGGTATTTGTCTTTCAGCACCTGGCCTATTTCACTCAGCATAATGCTTTCCAGTTCCATCCATGTTGTTGCAAATGGTAGTAGCTCCTTCTTTCTCTCTGCAGCATAGAATTCCATTGTGTATATGTACCACAATTTTTTGATCCATTCATTTACTGATGGGCACCTAGGTTGCTTCCAACTCTTGGCTATTGTAAATTTTGCTGCTATGAACATTGTGGTGCATATGTTCTGTGATATTGATGTTTTAGGATTCTTAGGATATAATCCCAGCAGTGGAATTGCTGGGTCAAAAGGCAGGTCGATTTTTATTTTTCTGAGAAAATTCCATACTGTTTTCCATAATGGTTGTACCAGTCTGCAATCCCACCAACAGTAGACTAAGGACTCCTTTTCCCCACAACCTCTCCAACATTTGTTGTTTGTTGCTTTGTTTATGATAGCCATCCTGACTGGTGTAAAGTAGTATCTCATTGTGGTTTTAATTAAAAATATGGAACGCTTCACGAATTTGCGTGTCATCCTTGCGCAGGGGCCATGCTAATCTTCTCTGTATTGTTCCAATTTTAGTATATGTGCTGCCAAAGCAAGCACTAGATTGTTCTTAATATTGAAATGTCTCTGGTTATATTTTGTTTGCTTTTTTCTTTTGTTGACTATGCTCCAGTTAAAGGTGAGATCATATGGTATTTGTCCCTCACTGCCTGACTTATTTCACTTAGCATAATGCTCTCCAGTTCCATCCATGCTGTAAGATGACCCATTCTTAATTGGCAAGGTATACCTTCAGAGAAACTTTGTATATGTATGACTATCTCTTCATATGACAGTAATTGATCATTGGAAGACTTTTTGTCCTTTATATTCCTATCTCAAATCATCAAGTCCATCACTGGTTGGTCCCAGTCATCTCCAGTAGAGTAGGGCAGTGGTCCTCAAAGTATGCCAATTAAGTAAGTGGTTACACTACTAAAATAAGTTGTGATGGGACTCTTACCAACAGAGTTCAGTCAAGAAAGCAGAACTACACTGGGAATTTCAAACAGGAGATTAATTATAGGAAGTTAATTACACATGTTGAAGAATCGAAAAAGTGAAGAGGGCAATAGAATTATTTTTAAAAAAGAAGAAGGAAGAAGAGGAAGAGGAAGGAGAAAGAAGAAAGAAGATAATGCTCTGGAGCTTGGGGACCAACGGGGGAAGAGGTAGATTTACCAGAACCTAAGATCTCTGAGAGGGCTCTCAGGCCAACTGTTAAATGAGTTTGGTAGTCTAGTGCTAGGAAAGCAGAAAGAATCTGCAGGCCACCTGTAGCCCTCTTCTGCTGCTAGAGAGATACTGAAAAACCATAATACAGGAAGCAAGTGCCTTTCCCCTCTCTGCCTTCCAATCTAACTTTATGTCTCCACTGGCAAACTAAAACAGAAATTTAGTTAGCAAAGAGAGACTAAGAAATGTTTAGTCCCAGCCCCAGCATTACAGAATACGGAAAGGCATGGTCAGAGTAAAACAATGACAAGGAAATAATCAGCACACAGTCGTTTTTAAATTTGCTGGAAAGTGAATTAATTCATCTACTTTTCCAATATATTTTTCTTTCCAAAATCTTTTACTAATAATGTTACTTATTCTTATAAAATAATATTAGATTACAAAGTGGTGTATATTTAGTAACAGTATCTTAATAACAAAGCAATACAAATTTTAAATTGCTTATGTCTAATCTAATACACAGTTATTTGGATGAACTCATTTTTACCTATTTTGTTGAAATTTATATAATAAATATACATTTTCCCAACTTTGTTATTATTTAATACAAATATTTCATGGCAAATCACTGATTGCCCTCATGACTTCATTAGTGCGAGAGTCATGGCATGTGATTCTTTTGGTAAACTATTATGTACATTAATTATGCCTTTTTTCAATTGAGATACAATTCATATATAACATGATTTGATATTTATATATAATGAAAATGATCACCACAATAAGTCTAGTGAATAAGTCTAATAGTAATAAGTCTAATAATAGTCTAATAATCAATTAGACTAATAATAAGTCTAACAACAAGTAATAGACTAATAATAAATCTAGTGATAATTAGTCTAATAATAAGTCTAGTTATCATACATAGTTTTAATTTTTTTCTTATGCTGAAAAGTCTTTAACAATGTTTAAATTATGCAATACAGTATTATTAATGATAGTCACCATGCTGTACCTTATATCCCTATGACTTACTTTATAACTGAAGTTTGCACCCTTTGATCTCTTTCACCAATTTGCCCATACCCCACTTCACCCTCTGGCAACCATGAATCTATTCTGTGTATCTATGAGCTTCATTTCATAAGTTACTTCATCTTTGATCACAGTAGTTCTTGTTTGAGTTGGGAATGAAATAAAATTGAGAGTGATGACCCCAAGAATAATTTCTTATCTTAGTTATTTTAATTCACCACCCATATTCTGTGCACTAGAATGTTTTTCTATAGTCCTGCGTAGAGAAGGATAAAAGTACAGTTTTACCAAAGCTTATTTGGCACTGCTTATTGAGGCATTTGTAAAGAATGCAATACTTCCTGCCAAGATGGAGATGTAGGTAGACACATTGTGCCTCCTCAAACAACTAAAATAAGGACAACAATAATTCAGAAACAAAGTAACAACCAAAACTGAAAGAAAACTGAACTGTATGGAAGTCCAATAACCAAAGAGTTAAAATAGACACATTCATCCAGACTGGTAGGTGGGGTGGAGTCGGGTGGCCTAGCTGAGAGAGGTTGCAGCACAGGAAGTACTGACACCAAGCGCTCAAGGCACCCTGGGCACAAGGCACACTGGGCAGACCCTGGGCACCCAGGCGCGGCTGGCAGACCCCAGGCATGGGGTGGCAAAGGGCAGACCTAGAGGGGCAGCAATTGAGAAGTGGGGCACCAGGTGCAAGATGGCTGGCTGACTGGGCAGCGGTCCCACATTTGCACGCAGATAACTGGGGAGTGAGACAGATTGCGCAACCCAGGGTCCTAGTGCTGGGAAATAAAGCCTCAAAACACCAGTTGAAAACACTTGTGGGGGTTAAAGCCCAGGGAGAAACTCCTACCCTCACAGGAAAGTTTGTTGGAGAAACCCACAGGGTCCTAGAATGCACAGAAGCCCACCCACATGTGAATCAGCACCAGAAATGCCCAGTTTGCTTGGGGGAAGAGGTAGAAGGGACTGAGGTGCAACAGAGAGTGGAGCAAAGCATCATTTTTTCCCCTCTTGGACCCCGCCCCCATGCACAGCATCACAACCCAGCAACTTGAGTTGCCCCACCCTGGTGAACGCCTAAGGCTCTGCCCCTCATACGTAACAGGCTCAAACAGACCAAAACATTTTGTCTCAAGCAGAAGAACACCTCAAAGCCCCAGAGCCAATACTTCTAAGCGACCAAGAGATAGGCAAGATATTGGATGCACAGTTCAAAACACTGGTGATCAGAATGATCACAGAACTGGTTACTTTTAGTCACAAATTAGATGAACAAATGAAGGCTAAACTAATTGAAATGAAGGGAAATGCACAGGGAACCAATACTGATGGGAAGGAAACTAGGACTCAAATCAATGGAGTGGACCAGAAGGAAGAAAAAAAATGACCAAACAGAAAAGGATGAAGAAACAAGAATACAAAAAAACAAGGAGAGGCTTAGGAACCCCCAG